GAGTTTGCACTGGGCCAGGTTGGCCGGAACATCGGCGTTCACGATCCGACGAGCCAAACCTTCGACAATGGTGGTCTTACCAACACCGGGTTCACCGATCAGCACCGGGTTGTTCTTGGTCCGTCGACTGAGGATCCGGATGACTCGACGGATCTCCTCCTCACGACCAATGACGGGGTCGATCTTGCCCTCTCTGGCCAGAGCAGTCATGTCAATGGTGAACTTCTTGAGGTTCTCATTCTCGCTCTCGGCGTCGGCGGTCTTGGAGTCTACCCGCCGTGTACCACGGATCTGTTGTACCGCCGTATCGATCAGCTTGACATTGGGGATATTCGCATCCGCCAGTGCCCGCTGCACCTGAGAATCTTGAACGACCGAGAGGATGAGGTGGTCGATGGCAACGTAGCTGTCCTTTTGCGTCTTGGACAGCTCGGTCGAAGAACGAATGACTTTGGCGAGGGCGGGTGAGACGCTCACTGTGTCGGGAGGGGGATCTTGACTCGGTAACCGGACAAGTAACTTCATGAGGGAACGCTCGAGGAGCTGAGGGTCGCCATGAGCGCGCTCGACGACCTGGCGGAAGAGAGGGGCGGCGGAAGAGTCGTGAGAGGGATGGGAGGCAACTTGTTGATCTTTCGAGTCATCTGGTGGAGGATTTAGGAGAGCAAGAGCGAGGTGAATAGGGAGAATCTGAGAATGGGCGTATTGCTCGGCCAGATGGCTCGAGTCCAATAACGCCTTGTTAGCTCTGTCTGTGAACTGAGCACCGTTCATTGTGAAACGAAACTAAGTGTCAGATAATAACAATAATGTTGATGCGAGGGTATCTAAAGCACAAAGGAAGGAAAGGAAACAGCTTGCGCGGATGAGAGGGGAGCTAGATATAGCTGGAGTTGGGTATCATCAGCCTATTCTTCTTCGCAGCACTGAGAACTCTCTCCCTCCGCCATGACGACACGAGTTGCTTCCACCGCCTTCCAGAACAATCGATCATCTGTCACGTGATAATGACATCGACACATGTACATGTATGTACTCTGTACTCCAAGTAACTGAGGTAGCTAATATTTAATACTTATGCAGCTAAATCCCGAGGCTGTTTGCTTATTCGATATTATAATCCGACGAGCGAGGTTACTAAATCAAATTATATAAGATTATACCATCGCAGCTGTCGGTATCACTGACTACAGCTGTCAGATGTGCCCATTGGCTGAAGTGGAGCCAGCTTTGTGGATGCCTTGTTGCCTTTCTGCCTCATTGCCTTGCTCTGGACCAATCATGATCGCGTCCTTCAACACACTCAATATTGGATATTAAGGTATCAATGCGGTCTTCACTGAGCGATCAGACCGTTTCTGCCACTGCTGTTCAACTTAATCTGGCTGAACGAGGGATAGAAGCTGAAAAGGTAACGGAAAACGCCCGAAACTGCGTTCAGTGTCGAGTCGGCCCATTAGAGGAGAGATGATGATCCACCCCACGTTCTGCCTGTACGTTGAGGATAATAATAATAGGTAAGCTATCAGTGTCCTGATCAACGAGGGTTACTTTCGGAATACGCGGAATCGATACTCCATAGTCCATAACTATCGTGGTATATAGCTTCATTCTATCAGTCTCATAATCACATACCCAACCATGACGTCAAAGCGGGATCCTTTCTGGTTCATCTCCCATCAGACCAGATACTGACCAGATACTGACCAGATACTGACCAGATACTGACCAGATACTGACCAGATACTGACCAGATACTGACCAGATACTGACCAGACACACTGTTCTCCTCAGCTACTTCAGGGCAAAACAGGGATATTCTTCTGTTACGACCAACGAACAGTCATGCTAGAGTTCTAGGTACTCGATATCTCAGAGCTAAGGCGCACTAATTGACAAGGACAGAAACCGTCATGCCTCTCAAACGCCTGCGGACTTGTTTCCCCCACTTTTTCTGCTTGATTTTGTGGTGCAGGAAAGCCCCTCGTTGCGGCCGTGGTTCAGGAACTGCATAATCCACTCCACTACTTGGTTAGACCTCGGAATTGTTCCTTCTGACATACGTAGGAGGCGGCGAATCAAGGGTTGATGATTAAAGAAAGATGAATGAGAATCAATTCGTGGCATGGAGCGGAAAGTAGATCTCAATCTGTTCAATTTTCTTATGTGGAGGGGTAGATAAATATCAACCCTTAGGTACCTCTATCTTCAGATGGATTTGTGGAATGACTTGCATCAATCATACAATATTAATCACACACACCGAGGGAGATATCTCTGAAGTAGCTTTGGCCAAGTGGGTTTAATCCAACAAATAACAACCGTAGATTTAAGCAGCGTCTCCAGCGCCTCAAGGCAGACCTTCTTGTCTCGGACGGGCTGTAGCTAAACGTGGTTCAACGTCCAGACGATTTCCATCTCGTTCATTCCTATTACTATTATTATTCTTCCAATTGACTTGGTTATCCACTGAACTAATAGGGATTTACTTTTTCCGATTCGAAAAAGAAACGAAACTCGACTTCCCCTCATTGTGCCATATCTCTCTCTGCATATAAAAGCTTGCGCATCGTCCCCTGGTCACTTCCGCTTCTTCCCTATCTTGAAGCATTCTTCGCCGTCCTGACCTGACCCATCTGATCGTCGGATAGGATTATCGTCGACGCTTCTCTTCTTCTTTTGATTGTCCCTGCTGTCTCGATACAGTATACGATTGGAAAAGAAAAAGACAGAAGTTCAACCCAGTAGACTACTACGCCGGTGGTGAAACGCCCTGGTTGAAGTAATACTCGGCTCATAACTACAAACTGCTACCTTGGTTGTCATTTCGACTCCATTGACATCTGCTCATCAGAAATGTCGCAGAGACCGATTTTTGTTGCTACCCATCCTCGAGCATGTTCCACGGCCTTTGAAAGAGTAATACTGCCCCCCTTGCTACTCCTTGCATTACGCACAGTCTAGACGGACAAGTGACTGACCCTTTCATCATAGGTCTTTATGACTCGCCGTGATTCTATACAATGTATCCACGAGCCATTTGGTGATGCCTTTTACTATGGTCCCGAGAGGCTCAGCCCCAGATTCGCCGATGATGAACAGGCCCGTCTGGACAGCGGATTCAGCGAGTCGACCTTCAAGACGGTGCTGGATAGAATCGAGCGTGAAGCTGCCGAGAACGAGGTCCGACCCTAGTCTTTTTTCCCTTTTGTCCTCTGATTTCCTTGATTCTACCTCATCCTCGTTCTCTCGTAATCTCCCCGGCCATTCCGCCATGATGAGAGCCATGGCCGTATCCGGGAGAAAACCTACACTTACCTCGGTTCTCTCCAATCTCCTGTAAAACGGTCCGTCAAGACGTTGACCGCGGATTTTGGGTTCAATGATTCCCTGCACAGACCGAAATCACAAGGCCCCAGTCTTCGCAACGATACTTACCTGATGCAGGGAAAGAGAGTCTTCATCAAGGATATTATCCACTACCTTCTTCCTCCTGACGGCAAGCCTGCCAGCATTGCCCCGTCACTCCAGAGGATCAAGCGCGGCGTAGGCACCGATGGACAAACCACCGGTGAAGAAAACGGCGTGGCCAACGGCCACGTCGACCAGGGCAGCAACGGCGTGGACCAGACCGGTCAGAACGGTCACCCCAAGTCCCGGACCGGCGAGCCCTACCCGTACGACACGGAGTCCGAACCAGGCAATCCCACCGTGATGCCCAAGGAGCTCCTGTCGCGCTTCCACTTCGCCTTCCTCATCCGCGACCCGCACTACAGCGTCCCCTCCTACTTCCGCTGCACTATCCCGCCCCTGGACGACATCACCGGCTTCTACACCTACGACCCCCTCGAAGCCGGATACGACGAGCTCCGCCGCGTCTTCGACTACCTGCGCCGCGAGGGCCTGGTCGGCCCGCACATCGCCACACGCGAACAGGACGCCAACGAGCTCACCGACAACCAGAAGCCGCAACCCGTTGTCCCCGGGCTGGGCGCGGGCCACGAGTCCGGCGCGGAGATCTGCGTCGTCGACGCAGACGAGATGCTCGAGAAGCCCGCCGCCATGATCGAGGCGTTCTGCCGCAGCGTCGGGCTCGATTATGATCCCTCCATGCTGTGCTGGGACACCGACGAGGACCACAAGATTGCGCGGGACGCGTTCGAGAAATGGCGCGGCTTCCACAACGATGCGATCGAGTCGAAGGGCCTGATGGCGAAGAAACCTGTAGCACTCCCCTTTCTCTTCTCTATAAAACGAAGGAACTAACCTTAGCAGCATCCTCCCAAATCCGAAGAAAAATACGACGCCGAATGGCGCGAAAAGTACGGCCCCGAGGCCGCGGCTCGCATCCGCGAGGCAGTCGACCGCAACATGCCGGACTACCTGTACCTGAAGCAATTCGCCATGAAAGTGTAGGCTTAGGCGCCGCTGCGGAAACCGAGAAGAAAAGAAAGTGGGTAAATTGCAATGAGGAGGACTTAAGCAGTATTTAAGGTTGGCACTTGACAGGCCCCTCTGATGATCCATGTTCCATGACGATGCCAACGACGATGATGAGATCTTAGCTCTGATGACGCCATTTTTGGGCTTCTCCATACTCCGTAACTCCACGAAGTGTTTCTATTTGTGTTTCTTGATTCTGATTCGTCTGTTTGTTTGATTGTGTCTGTGATGTCTTTGCGTGTAGGGAGATTGTCAGACTGAAGGTTCACCCTTGTCAGGGTCATAGTCATAGCGATAGCTGTGTTAGGATACTGCACTGTAATGATTTACCCCGACATAGTCACTAGAACCGGTAGGTCAGAATGATCATGCAGTATGCAATTAGTACAGGCTGAAAAGGCTTGACCTCATTCATCATACAGTACTATCTATCCCCGTTGACCCAGTATTTCTCAGGTCATCAAATGAACGCACATGCCGTATATCGAAATCACAGAGTCGGAGTATAACATATGTGCCAATGCCAACTGCCACAAAAATGCCACAGATCAAATCCCTCAAACAGCACTGTAACCGCCTCTCGACCCGCTCCCTTGGAGCGTATTGATGACCCGTCGCAGCCAGTCCTGGAAAATGTACGGAATGTCGCGGAGGGTGTCGCCGTGCGGGAGGAGGTCCCAACCACGCGCACCGTAGCGGTTGTAGTTGAGCCACGAGCCGAAAATAATGTAGGCAGCGGCGCAGAGGAAGAAACTGTAGAGGATTATGTTAGCATTCGCCTCGATGTGCCAGAATTCGGGGAAAGCGTACATGATGATCAACCAGGTGAAGAACCCCCAATGGCTTGACCCGTCGCCCTTCCTGTCGCGGGCATAATTGTCACACGCATAGCGCGTCCGCCACTTCAGCTTCAACTCGTACGAATCGTCGTCCGCCGGCCCGAAACTTTCGAACTGCAGGCTGCGCGAGGGATCCGACCCGTCGTTCGGGTCCGTCTTCTCCTTGTCCTTGTCCTTGTCCTCGTCGCCTTCATCCTCCCGCACCACTAACCGCCGGCGCGTCTCCTCCTCCTCGCTCGATCCATCCTCCACAGAAGCCAACCCCTCCAGACCCGACCGGTCGGGATCACACTGGAACTCAATCACCGCCCGGGCATCCTTCTTCTTCTTGTCCTTGTCGACGTACTGGCCCCCCGCCAATTTCAGCAGGAGCCCCTCCTGCCCATCTCCCTTCAGCCGCGTGACCTCGGGGTCCTTGCTGCCGTGACCCAGGGGGTCCAGTCCGGCAATGGGGAAGGCATGGCTGATCTCCTCCAAGCCGTCATCGGTGTACTTGTACTGGAATCCACAGACTAGAACAACAGTCAGCACATCATTCATTTTCATCCGACTCTAGAAATCCAAAAAGGACCAACGAGCCACGCACCGTTCTTTGAAGTCCCGCACTTCAGGTCCCCCCGGATCGAGGCCTTGCCGAGCGCCTTGCAGATGTCCAGCACGTAGGTCGTGTTCACGATGTAGTCCTCCGTCTTGTCGACATGGTAGATCGTGTGGACGCCGTGCAAGCCTTTGAGGTCGTATTTGTTTCCCTCTGCGATGATATTGTGGCAGTCGAACCCTGATGCCGAGGCTAGACCGGTCAAGAGGGCGGAGGAGAAGAGCAACGATGGGGAGAGGCCCGATTGTATTCGCATCGTGGGAGGATGTCACGAGGGTGCAAGGGAAGGGCAGTGCGTAGCGTGTCACACAATCAACGAGGCCGTTTACGATCGGTGTTCGGTTGCTAAGATCAGCGAGAGCGCAAGGATGATATTGTTGCTTGAACGAACGGTGATGCCGGTTTTGAAGGCAGAGTGCGAGGTCACGGACCACCAGTGTCAGAGTCGGAAACGCGATTTGGACCGGTTGTCTGGATTATAGGATGGAAAAAAATGTGTGCTTATGATGCAGTATACTGGAGAATGATATATGTGGACAAAAATCGAGACAAATCTGGGTAAAGGGTGAAACAGAGGATAAATTGCTGTGCTGGCTGGATAGAACGAGATGGATGCGGTTTACTGGTGCTGCAGTTGGGGATTCGTTTCTCCGGATTGCGATCGTTGCAGGACAGCTCGTATCACCTCGTTTCAACAACACTCAGGTACGAATGAGGTACAACTGGTTCTCAACAAGTTGGACCATTTATGCCCTAGTAGCAGGCGTCCAGCAGCTATTCTATCTAGTTCTAAATGATCCTTCTTGCGGAGGAGAGATGACAAGGGGCTGCTGATGATGTCACCCGACCGCTGTGATCCAGTTGTGTTGATATTCTCTAGACTACCTTACCTCTCTATCCTGGCGAGAATACTAGAGAAGTCCGTACGCCGGTCTTAGTAAATCTGCTGCCTCCTAGATGTAGCTACAGAGCTTTTACAAGACAAGTAGTTCGCGGCATAATGAAATTTGATTTGCAGAGCGTGACCAGAAGATGAACATTCCATAGAGCTCCATATGTGAGAGGTTAATGACCTTGTCTCCCTGCCAACCCACTAAAAAAAGAGGATACATAATCAACTGAAGTATGGCGAACCCCTGAGTCGCTGTTTTTCTCGCAGTTGCTGCTCCTCCTCAAAGGCGCCGGCGTAACTCCTGTATCTCCTGGAGGGATATTCTGGATAACATTAGATGCTGACCGGCATCGAACCGTTTTTGGGATGGTATTTGTGTTGGGGGTACTTTAACCATGATAGTCACGTGCAGAGGGGTGAGTTGGCTCTAACGGTCTCGGTCCCAAGACTCTGCTAACATCATCGTCGAATGCCACCTGTGCCTCCATATGAAGATGTCCAGCATCTCTCACCTATTTCGATGGCAGATCTAGTCTGCCATCTGGCTCTTAATGTCGTCCTTTTCTAGCCGTGTTAGCTCACTTCTACGCTTGCCGAACCAGCCCGTCGCAGCAGCACCTAATGATGTGAGGCATATCCTAAATGTACCTTCTCAGCCGAGTTTCTACTAAGGGTTCAAAGGAATTACTCTCTCTAGATCTCGAGGAAAATGATTTTCTGTATCAGATAAGGAAGAATTCACGGATTGTATATGTCTCTATCCTTGACGGAGGTGTCCTTCCCCCTGATTACAGAACAGACGGTGACCGGGTTCTTTCGAAGTTGTGAAATCTTCTGAAGTGGGAGGAGGAGTGGAGAATACTCACTGTCCAGAGGGGTGTTTAGGGTATTGAGAGCACTCTGGACGAATTTTTGCCGCATGGGCTGGATGTTGGCCAGCTTAATATTCCTGGTGCCATCTTCCTCAACCTTCTAGACCTGAGAATAATCTCTTGGATCAGTGATCACATTTCTCGTGTCAAGTATAATAGTGAAACATGGATATTGAAAATTGCGCGATTCAGACATGAGATCCTGGCCTTGCGTTGAGAGGTTTCAGTATATTCTATACTTACATTAAATGTGTTTCCTCTCGCTCCAAAATTTATTGGGTTCGCCTATGAGGAAACAAAAGCTCAGATAATTGACTTTCTAATGGAGGATATTTCAGGGCACCACCCGGATATATATAATCTCAGAGATTGCATGGAAACCGTACATCAGCTGCATACATTTGGAATCGTGCACGCGGACCTCAATAGATACAATTTTCTGATGACAGAACACGGCGCTAAAATTTTTAATTTCGAGGTTTCCTTTGCTCAGGGAAACGTGGACCCAGCAGCAGCTGAGGAGGAATTAAATTTACTTGCAATCAGGCTGGAAGATGAATCAGGCATCGGCAAATGTTAGTTCACTGTTGAGTACTTATTCAGGGCGCCCTGGTGGGTAGGGTATGGGACAACCTACTTGCTTGCTTCCTGGCGTATCAAGCACTCTGTAAACACGTCCTGCATCTGTGGGTTGAAACCTTGACCTCTTTGTACAAGGCACGAACTTTTGCAGGCACCACCACCTTAGCGCTGCGCAGCTGATACATAACTTTTCATCTGAGAACTGAGCTTCTCCGCCTACTACATTGTCGCATAGGTAGTCTGCTGCGTGACAGAGAAACCGAACCACAAATGGCCAATGACGCTACGAAACACTCCTCGCTAAGCTGGCATTGGTATTGCTAATTCTCCAAATGTGAGTGACATGGCATGGTATTCCAGATTAAATAGCTTCCTAATTATCCTCTTGAGACCTAATCCTCAAATTTCTGGTCTATTTGCGTTCAGCCTTGTCCCTGTCTGGAGTTTGCAATGCCCGAAGCACTAGCACCTCCACTCAAAATATTTCTATTTCTGTTGGCACCATTCAGTCCAATAGCACTTTCCTCCTTGGCTGGATAATCTCCACCGTGTATAGTTAAATCCAAAGACAAACAATCGTACGCTCTAGAGCCAGCTTTGAGCAGCTATCGGCAAAGATATCCTGCATATGATTGTACTTTAGCGACAAGCCAACAAACATATGCCATCGGAGTTCTTGAGAGCAAAGCGATATCAGTAGCCTGCGGAATAATATATTCATTAGTACCATGCATATGCCAAGTTATTCCAGGATAGTGTGATATCGACCGGTACGTATATGACTTCGGGGAAGTCTATCTGGTGTGCAACGATATCTAGTAGTCGTCATCGCTCTTTATGTAGTTATTTAGACCTTACATTCCTTCATACTTTGATTACCCAGAAACTTTAAAAAAGCACTTGTTTCTTTTAGGACTCTAGGTGGCGTGGCATACCTGAGGAAGGCAGAAGATGGTGTCTGATTCCTAGTGGGATTGCACCAAGTTCACTTTCCAGCTCAGATGCTTCGACATACCTTGCCTCGTCAAACGTCGACGTGGGCCCGGAGGCTGAGAATGCCTCCGGGCCCGTTGACGGGGCGTCATATTGTGTGTTCGACTCGGTGGTCGGATCTGCGTCTTCATCAGCGAGCCTGATGGCATCTGCTGCGGCTGCGTCTGGGGCTAGTTCGACGTATTTTAGTGCCTCGATGATATGCCGAAACTTCCAGTATGTCTCGGTTGGATCAAAGACATCTGATTTCTTTTCAAGGAGCACCTGCTGTCTTGGGTTCAGCATTTCAGTCTTCCATTCGGGTGCTTTCAGACTTGGAATATCATCGTCTTTTTCATCTTTACTGAGTTCATCGCGTTCCTCGTCGCCAGTGTCCTCCTCGTGGGTAGTTCCTTGTGTCGTTGTTGCTGTGCTGTTTGATCACCCTTGACCTTTTATGTCTTTGATTGTCCGTCCGCTGACTGGGCCTTTCTCTTAGAGCAACCCCCTCACCTAGATCATCTGTTAGGTTGCTTCCGGAAAAGACCTTTTCAGGTTGGGCCTAGAGCACATTACCTTGGTGTTTTGTTCCCATGATTGCTGTGCCACCATATGCCTTATTGATATATGATGGTGCGTGTATTTTGCAGAGCCAGCCTTTTAACGCCCATATGATCCTGTCCATCATCTCATCACTGAAGTTCTTACCAAAGAAGACCCCCTCCCGTGATCGCAGGTTGATGTTCCTGATGTTAAGGTGAAAGCGTGCCAGGTGATCCGCAGCGCCCCAGTTATCTTTCTTGGGCTGTGGCATGCTGTACTTTAGGACACTGTGAGACTTGCCACTTAGTATCTGGTTCTGAATTTCACTGATTCCTTTGCCATGCTCCTTTGTCTGCTCCTGACTCAAATGATCATTCAAGAGCTCTACCCACCAGGGCCTCACCATTTCCGAACGAAGCCATTTGAGACATTGTCTTCCAGGTTGAGTACCTCCTGTAATTCCTTCTTAGTGCTTTCCACCTTCTTTGCTTTGGGGCCTGTGTCCTTCTGTTCAGTATCAGGTATGTCCATGAAGTTAAAATCAAATTGTGGGTCGTCATCCGCTGCATTGCTCATGGTGGATGTTGGAAAAGGCTTTCTGGCAGATGGGGAGATGGAGCTGGGGAGATGGAGATGAGAAGGGAAGACAGAGATGGTGAGATGAGGAGTGGAAGATGAGGCTGTATATATAATCATGCTTGATATTTGATATTCACGACTTTCAATGAGCAGAGTGAATAGAGTCAAGGTTAGTGAATAGTAAGAATGGACTGAGATAATAGTAAGAGAATAATGATATCTTCATATTATGCTTAACCATAATTTTCTCACTTTTCTTTCACCTTACCCTAAGAGAGAAAATCTATGTCTCCAGATTGGCAAAACAAATATAGACATATGGCAATACCAACCAAGTACATTGACTTACCTAAAATACTCCATATCTACAATAGAGGTAGGTAAGTGAAAGTCCTAAGACGACCTTATCATGCCCCGCACGGACCACACCCACCACAATCAAATCACATCTCCAAATCCGACCAAGAATTAATTAGATACTCCAAGCCCATAAAGACCAGACCACCACCACATAGCTCGAGCCTCTCACCTAAAGGCTAAAGCCATCAGCAAAAATGATGAATCACCGCATGGTACGCCTTAGATAATCCTACCCCCACCACATCTCCAGCCGTAGAAGCCAAACCTGACGCTCCCCTAGCTCAGCAAAGAAGACGAAGCCACAGCCGGCAGCGAAGAAAACGAAGTCCGGCGCGAGGACCAGGAAAAGATCAACCGGTTCAGCCGTCTTCATCAGCGCCAGTCTGTGCTCGAGGAGCAGCTCAAGGCGAAGCAGGTACGCTCACCCTCATCCCCCGATTCTGGCTGACTGGCTGCGACCATTGCATCAAAATGAATGAATGCTGACGCTACGTAAACAGAAAGACAAGGAAGATCTAGAGGAGATTTCGACCGAGCTCGAATTGGCGGATGAGGATGAGTTAGTTCCGTATGTATTCCCTTTTGTGCTCTGCTTTTATTCTAGGTACGCCACCAGGCTGGACGTTTGTTGACGCATAGCAGGTACAAGATCGGCGATGCCTTCTTCCAGCTTCCGCTGGCAGATGCGCAGTCTCTTCTGGCGTCGTCCACTGAGCAGATTGATTCGGAGGTGTCCAGGCTGGAGGAGACCTTGGGAGATGTACGCGAGGAGTTGCAGCAGCTCAAGGTTGCGCTGTACGCGCGGTTTGGACGCAGTATCAATCTGGAGACGTAGATTTTCTCTCTTATCCTACTTGCAGCTTCCTTCTTCAATAAGATATCCGCTTTTGGTCACCAGCAATGATGAACAGAGCCGCCAACCGTTATGACCCGGTTGATGATGTAATTCTATGGATGTCACTATCTGCATGGATATTAGGATATTGTACTGTATGTATACATAGGCAAACATAAAAAGCAGAAATCTGTCGTAAACCATTATCTCGTCTCGTATGTGGCCCAAACCCTCAATCCAGTCTTAGTGCTGGTGAAGATAATAGAAATGCACCGACAAAATCTACTCTGAAGTAGATTGCTGCGACCGGGGTCCGTGCCTCGCTCCTGCTGTCGCGGAGCGACTGATCGGGAAGAGAGTGTGTACGTTTGAGCACGAGCTCAAATTGGTTGGCGACCCTTCACCAGACCTTGCCGTAGGATGCAAGGGTACTCTCTTGGCCTTCCTGACAAGCACTGCCAAGCAATCCTGTCACAAATCAGATGATGCTCGCAATCGTCATCCGTGACTGAACCGAGTTCATTTCTTTTGGCGCTGGTGCTGGCTCTGCAACTCCCACTGTAGGCTCCGTTTTGAGAATTGCCGGTTCGGTTGGTTTCGCGGCTAGCGGAACACCCCGCCGCTCGTACTCTTGCTGTTGCTGCTGCTGCTTCTCCTTCAATAGATATTCAACCGTCCGCTCGACCCAGTCCCAGCCCTCCCAAACGATGTCTGAACCTTCACCGCTAGGCCAATCATTCCGGGTGCCAGTGTGGGTGAACGATACTGGGCTCTCATATTTTGGGGACATGACCTCTAGCTGAGAACCGGCCTCACTGCCTTCCCATATCCAGCTGCCGTCACTGGTTCCCTGCATGTCACCGGACACATACGCCATCATTGCTTCATCCCGCTCCAGATTGGCTGCATCACCCCGGCGCAACAGCTCCAGCAGGCATTTAAGGAAAAAGGCGATGTACCGTCCACAGGCTGCGTTGACGGCACGCGAATCCCCAACCACGGCGCTGACCTGAACGCACACCAATGCCGCAGCAAATTCCTGACGAAACAAAAGCAAAAGCACACAACGCCAGATATGTGTACATAGCATCGTCCCGGCAGACGATGCGAACAATGGTCGCCAGTCATCGTTCCCTGTACTCGAAGCATAGCGCAGGCAACGGGAAAGAAGATGGGCAGTATCTTTTGCGATTGAAATGCTGTAATCCAAAGCCGCCGATCGAACCTCGGGGGAGCAAAATGGAGATATGTTATGGCGGTGAAGAATGAGGCGGGCGTTTTGAAGATAGCCAATCGGGGCAAGGGAGCGCGGATCGAGAGGTAAATCGGACTTCGGATGGTATTGGGGAGGAAAGGTTGCAAGGCAAGCGCTAAAGTGTCGTTCAAAAGTTTCAAGAGTTCCGGTGGAAATGGTGTAGCTTCGTAAGGTCCGAGTCAACTGGCCAATAGAGCGGACGACATGGATGGTGGCAAGAAGTGGAGTGGTCTGCTGGCCTTCAGGCACGCAAGCACCCTCTGCGATGTATTGCTCGTCAAACGGACAAGGGAGATCAACGTCACAATCTTGGTCGTTGATCAAAACCGGCTTCCCCATCTCCAGCGCAAGAAGCCTAGAGAATAATGAGCATCGTTGCAAGTAAAGAGATCAATCCTGAAGACAAACCTGTCCCACGCGTACATCCCCCACCACACACGTCTTCTCATTTCCCTTTCGACAACTGGCCACGGACCGGATTCAATATGGAGGCCTAACTCCTGCGCAATCCTCACTGCAGATCCAATCCATACCCAGCTCGCTGATTTCGAATTGACTTCGTAAAGGAATATACTGACCAAGAGGGCACATCTGGCTTGATCAAGTGTGAAGTGATCTTGCCAGACATCAATGACCCCGCAAGAGATTTTGATAAACTCCTTCCCCTCCTCTTCTCTATTCCGGTCCAATGTGTGCAGAGACCCGCAGGCAAAAACACCGAAGAGAACCGCGGCCCATTCCCGAGGGACACCCAGAAGGGATCCCTTGCTGTATACATTCTCGAATTCTACCATGAAGCTGGGCCAGTGGATGATTGGTAGAACACAATGGATGCACGAATAATATTGTGTGAGGAGGTGATTCGCGACTTCTTTCGGAGGGAGTCGAGGTGGATCGGCAGTCAAAAGCGACTTGGGGCCGGGCTGACGATACGGCCTGGGTACCTTGAGAATCCCTCGTCCGTAGTTTCGCAAGTTGGCTCGAGCCTCGCTGAGATCCTGCAACACCGGCGCTTTTGGTCTTCGGGAGGGACGATACCCGACTTCGGGCAGCTTCAATTGGGGTTGTCCAGTGCCATCGATTTCCAGATCCATAAGATTATCCGACCTCAACATACCCGCTCGCAGTTGCTGAAGTTGCTGTTTGGTCGACGAAAGTTGTTTTTCCAGATCCTGCACTTGTCTACTTGCACGTTAGAATCGCAGGACCTTTCCGGACGGAAGAATCGCCATAGCCACGAACTTGATAGAAGACATGCGTCTATTTGTTTCCTTGGTGAACTGGCATCGCACTTTTCGATTGGTGCATTCCGTACAGCTGGCCGATTCTGACGCATCACACTAGACAAGACAAGGTCAATGAATCCGTAGTCATTGAACTTGTACAGAAAGTGATTACCTTGACTTTCCGCTCGCGACAAGCATCGCAGCTCGGATCCTTCCGCCTTTGGCGATACGCTCTTTTCTGATGTAGATGACCCTGTTGATGGTGACTATGATGATGGTGTTGCTGCGGTGGTGGTGGTGGTGGCTGCTGCCGCCCCACTACAGATGCAGGCGGAGGAAGAGTTGAGCCCCCCGATACAGATCCATTGAGTGAAGAGACATCCGAACGAATTGGAGGAATTTCGGCGGGAGAACCGCTAGACTCGTAGGAACGAGTGTATGTCGAAGTCGTCGAGGGTGGTTGCCCCAGAGGCTGTAACAGCTGAGCCATTCTCAGTCCGCTGCCGGGCCTGCTCGGCGGAGCGGAACCTAACCCCGCGGAGGTTCCCTGTGGGAAAGGACCAGAAGGAGAGGTCACTGACTGTACTGGGGGTAACTCATAACGACCACTCTGATGGTTAGGGCTAGCTGGAGAGCGGTAATAATGCGTCTGCATGGTTCCTGAATCGCAACATGAAAAGCCAGTTCATCAGGGGAGGTCGTGCGGCGTCTTCCTCGAAAAGTGTGTGTTGTCGACGCTCAAAGTGGCGTCAGTTGGGTTGACTTGGCTGCACAGAGGGAAAGACAACCCGAAAGACAGATTGATGATGGAAAGCTTATAGGGTGAAGACTTGGTAGTGTATATGAAGTTTATTCCTGAAGGCGGAAAGGTTTGAGAGGAAGCTGAGAGTAAGAGAATCAAGAGCAAATCAATGCAAATAACAATAAAAAATAATAATGTAAAAGGAAAATAAGAAAAGGTAGAAAGAAAAAAAAAAAGACCGTCAGTCAAAAAAGGAAGTTGACAAGGTCAAGCTGGCTGTGGTGGCGAAAGAGTGCAGACGTGTGCAATGGCCTATTAAATAATGTATCTCTCACTGTCGAATAAAGACAACCAGTTCCTTGGAAAAGATGCAAGATTAGAGTTGGTGTTTGGCCCATCAGTGTTCACGTCGTCCTCCAATCTTCTGTGTTCAAGTTGATAGGAGGACAGGCTGCGGGGGAGAAGCCGAATAGTTAGTGGTGGTTGTCAAAGTTGAGGGCATCCAATTGATCCACGGATAGGCAGCCGAAATGTGTGCCTAGGTGCCGAGGTCTGTGATTTGCTGCTCAAGGGAACGTG